CCATGGTCGAGGCCAGAGGCCCTGGCGGCGGAGCCGCTGGGCCTCGGCAGCTCTTACCAGGACCAAAATGTGTCGCAGCTGGCCCGGTAGAGCAGTGCTGGGCTAGGATGTGCGGTGCCACTGGCGGCGCGGCCGCTGGGCCTCCACACAGCCTGCCTCAGCACAAGATGCTCGGCCACATGGCCAGGGGATTGGCACTGCAGATGACCGGGTCGGTGGGCTGTTGCCATGCTGTTTGCCACCACCTGCGTGGCAGCTGGGGTAGGAAATCAGAGGAGGAATAGGTACCCATACTGCTACCCTTCCCTCGTTTTCCCCTTTTTGGGCCTCCTGGGAGGCCCTCGTCGCCATCGCTGGAATCTCGTTGAAATCCTGGTCAGAACGCACCCCAAGAGAGGTCCGGGGTGTAGCAGTAACGGTGCCTTTTGGTTTCCTTAGGAAAGTATCTGCCGGTGACCGATCTGCTGGTGTAACTTCGTCACCGCCACCAAGCTTGGTATCGATGGCGCGGTCATCGGATCTGGCTGGTCTACCAATCTGCTATCGATGACGAGCAGATCGATGGGTACTAGATCTACTCGGCAACATAACATGACCAACACATACATATACATATACGCACATATACGTATACATGTGCATACAAACAAATACACATACATATGCACATACACATGCACATACACATGCACATATTGCGAAGGCCTAACGGCTGGTGCCGCCGACCCTGAAGACGACGAAGATGAAAACGAGCGGGGGGGTAGGAGGCGGAGGAGGAGGAGGAGGAGGAGGAGGAGGAGGAGGAGGAGGAAGGAGGAGGGAGGAGGAGGGGAGCAGGAGGAGGAGGAGGAGGAGGAGAGGAGGAGGAGGAGGAGGAGGAGGAGAGGAGGAGGAGGAGGAGGAGGAGGAGGGAGGGAGGAGGAGGAGGGAGGAGGAGGAGGAGGAGGAGGAGAGGAGGAGGATTGGAGTGGGGGGGGGAAGAGGAAGGGTGGAGAAGGCGGATGAGGGAGGAGGAGGGGGGGGAAGGATGAGGAGGGGGAGCAGGAGAAGGAGGAGGAGGAGGAGCAGGAGGAGGAGGAGGAGGAGGAGGAGGAGGACGAGGAGGAGCAGCGAGAGGAAGCGAGTAGGATCAACCAATTCTGGAGGCCTCGGCTCTCGACGGAAGTGGGAGGGAGAGGGCGGGGACAAATTCTTTCCGAAAATCAATGAGCATGGCCTCTCCGGGCCTGCTTGAGAGTCCTTGTAGGGCTCTTTTGGCCCGCCTGAGGGCCCCCTTTGGCCGTCCTTAGGCGTTCTTGGGCTGTCTTGTGGGGCTTAGGCTGTCTTGGGGCGCTCTTGCAGATCCGTCGTGGCGACCCCCCGTCCTCCTCCAGCGCATCTACAGAGGGCCCCTCTGTAAAAGCCGCATGCGGGGGATGCGTATCTGGGTGTCGACCCCCCCCGGGACCCCCCCACGGGACCCTCCCCGGGACCCCCCCCTGGGACCCCCCCCCCCCGGCGGGGAAGGGATCAAAGGGAAGGGGCTTCCCTTCGACGCATTTACGACGTTGCTCATTTTCGTTTTGGTTGGCGCGCTTGAGGAGGAGGGGGAGGGCTCAGGGAAAGGGCGGGTAGCGCCACACGCCGACAGGGTCGGCGGATTTATACTCATGCAATTCTATATTCGTTTATCCATATACATTTACATTTACATCTCTATATATGGATATGCAAATGCAGTTATATATACCTATCCACACACGTATACATACACATACATATGCACATACATTTATATGTACACTTACAGTTACATTTACAATTCCACTCACACTCAGATTTCCCTACCTAGGCTCTGCCTAGAAGGGTTCTTACTCTGTTGGCTTAAATGGGCCGGGCGGTGGAAACCGCCCCGGGCGGTTCCCCCAGTCCCCTGGGAGCCAAGCAAAAGCAACAGCAAAGGTAAAAGCAAACGCGCGGTTCCCCCAGTTGCGCTCCCTGGGTGCCAAGCAAAAGCAAAAGCAAAGGCAAAAGTGAAGGCAAAAGCGAAGGCAAAGCAAAAGCATGGCATAACATAGCATAGCATAGCATAGCATAGCGCAGCATAGCATAGCGCAGCATAGCATAGCATAGCATAGCAGAGCAGAGCAGAGCATAACATAGCATAGCATAGCGCAGCACAGCATCCACTGTTGCTGCTGCTGTATGTATATATACATATATATATGTATATGTTGCTTGCGCTACTACTACTACTACTACTACTACTACTACTACTACTACTACTACTACTACTACTATTACTACTACTACTACTACTACTACTACTACTACTAACGCTACTGCTACAACTACGACGATGAGGAGAAGGAGGAGGACGGCGCTTACCGCTCCTACTAATGTTGCTTTCCTAGAGGCTCCAACTCCTAGGTAGGGTCGCACTGGGATGACTTCATGTACATTTACATGTACATGTACATTTACATTTCCATACATACACACATTTACATATGCATATGCATATACATACACACACATACGTACACACATACACATACACATACATATACGCATACACATACAACCACACTTACAATAACATATCATATAGATACGCATGCACATACATACACTACACACATACATATACGAGAGAGCCTGATCCACCGCCGCTTTACTGTGGAAAATTGCCCCCCTCTTCCTCCGGAGCCCGGGGTCCCCCCCCCCCTCCGAAAATCCCCCCCCCCCCCCCCCTGACCCCCCCCCCCCCCCCTCCCCCGGCAAAACCCCCCCCTCCCCCACCCCCCCCCCCCCCCTCGAAAACCGGGGGGGGTCACTACCGGTTCGAACCCCCCCCCCCCCCCCCTCGAAAACCGGAGGGGGGGTCACTACCGGTTCGAACCCCTCCCCACCCCCCACTCACCGCCAGCAAACGACTCCCGGTCCCTACCACCGTCCGCGCCACATCCCCCACTGTTGTTCCCAGCACCACTGTCCTCACCACCACTGTCCCCACTGGTTCCACCACCGTCCCTACTGTCCCCACCAGTGCTCCCACCACTGTCGCACTGTCCCCACTGTCCCCACCACTGTTCCCACCACGGTTCCACTCTCCCCACTTTCTCCACGGCCCCAACCACTGCCCGACTATCCCCACTGTCCCCACTGTCCCACTGACGCCTCCGCTGTCCCACTGAGCTGTCCCACTGTTCCCACCACTGTCCCCACTGTCCCCACCACTGTCCCCACTGTACCTCTGTCCCATTGTCCCACCGCCGTCCTCGATTCACCACTGTCCCCACCACCACTGTACCCTCCACTGTCCCACTGTTTCCACCTCCCACTGTCCCCACACCACTGTCCCCACCGCCACCGTCCCCACCACTGTCCACTGTCCCCACTGTTCCCACCATTGTCCTCACAACTGTCCCCACCACTACAGCCCCCACCACTGTCCCACTGTCCCCACCACTGTCCCGCTGTCCCCTCGCCACTGTCCCCACCGCCACCGTCCCCACCACTGTCCGCACCCCCCCTCGGTTTTCGAGGGGGGGAGGGGGGGGGGTTCGAACCGGTAGTGACCCCCCCCGGTTTTCCGGAGGGGGGGGGGGGGCGGGGGAGGGGTTCGAACCGGTAGTGACCCCCCCCGGTTTTCCGCCAGCAGCGGTAGAACACGCTCTTTCAGATACATAGCATATACATGCATATACATAGACACATACATGTACACATACATAGGCACACACACATATCTATATCCATATACAACGACACGTATATGTACACATACACATACACATACACATACATATACACATGCACATACACATACACATACATCTACACATACACATACTATAACTATTCACATTCATATCCGTATCCATATACATGTACACCTACACATACATATACATAAGCATACATATATGCACACCCATAGATATATACATACATGTATATGCAGCCGCCCCCTTGAAAAGCGCCCCGCCCACCTCCGTGACATTGGCCCCCCCTTTTGGATACCCCCTCCCCGGCGCCCCCAAGGGGCCTCAAGACGCCAAAGAGGCTCCCAAGATGTTCCACGAGGGCCCCGAGTCAGCCAAAGATCGCTCCAAGACGCCGAAGATGGTCCCAAGACGGCCCAAAGGTCCTCCAAGACGCCCCAAGAGGCCTCTGGGAGGCTTCCCAAGAGGGCGGAAAGAGACAATAATTGTTGTTTGTTCGATGGCTTTTGATGTCCTTTTGGTTTCTCGCCTTCTCGGCTTCCGGACGCTGCAAAACAGCCCAGGAGGCCCCCACGGTCGCCCCAAGATGGCCGAAGAGGCCCCCAAGACGGCCCCAAGATGGCCTAAAAGGGCCCCAAGACGGCCCAAGAGAGGGCCCCAAGACAGCTCTAAGGAAGGGTTCAGACGGGATTAGACTGGACTTTTCGGGCTCTCGGCCCCAAGAGGCCCCAAGGAGGCCCCCAGAAGCCCTTGGGAGGCCCCTAAGAGGACCCAAGAGGCGCCCAAGAGGCCCCCAAGAGGCCTCCGAGAGGCTCCCAAGAGGCCCCCAAACGACCCCGAACAGACACCGAAACAGGCCCCAAGGCGCCACGGAACTGCCTCAAGGAAGCCCCCGGGAGACCTGCCACGAGATCCGAACGAACTCTCCAGATGCTTCCTCGAGGAATCCCAGACGCCTCCAGGATAGCTTCACGTGCGCTCCAAATACTCCCAAGACGGCTCCAAAACGACCCCAGATGGCCTGAAGACGGCCCTGGAGGCCGCCAAGATGGTCCAATATGGCTTCACGATGGGCCCAAGGGTCCCCAAGACGCTTCCACGACGCCCCAACGCCTCCCCGCTCCTCCTCTTTCCCTCCCCCCTCCTCCTCCTCCTCCTCCTCCTCCTCCTCCTCCTCGTCCTCCTCCTCCTCCTCCTCCTCCTCCTCCTCCTCCTCCTCCTCCTCCTCCCCTCGTTCCACCCCGTCCTTTTCCTCGCTCCTCCTCCCCCTTTTTCCTTCGCTTCCGTGTGCAGGACCACAAGCTCCACTCGCTGGGTCCCACCCGCAGCTGGTCCGCGACGCGGAGAGCTCCCGAACCGCCCCGCCGGGGAAGGGGGGGGGAGAACAGGGGGAGGAGGGTACTTAGAGGGAAGGAGGGCAGGGAGGGGGGGAGGGAGGAGGATGGGGAGGAGGAGTGAGGAGGAGGAGGGGAGAGGAGGAGGAGGAGGAGGAGGAGGAGAGGAGGAGGAGGAGGAGGAGGAGGGGGAGGAGGAGGAAGGAGGAGGCGGAGGCGGAGGCGGAGCGGAGGCGGAGGCCGAGGAGGAGGAGGAGGAGGGGGAGAAGAGGAGGAGGATGCGGAGCGAGGAGGAGAGGAGGAGGAGGAGGAGGAGGGAGGAGGAGGAGGAGGAGGAGGAGGAGGAGGAGGGGGAGGAGGAAGGGGTGGGGGAGGGGGGGGAGGAGGACGAGGACGAGGAGGAGGAGGAGGAGGAGAAGGAGGAGGAGGAGGAGGAGGAGGAGGAGGAGGAGGAGGAGGAGGAGGAGGAGGAGCGGTCGACAGCTGTATAGGTATGATTGCGCTTCCTCGCGTGGTGCTCGCGCAGGGCGTTGCTGCACCCTGGGCGTTTATCCTGCACGCGTTGAGAACGGAGTGCTTCTGCGGCGTCCAGCACCACCGGACGAGCCCGTCGGGCGCCTCCGGCGCTTCGCTGCGGGCTCTCTTCTGATCTTGGCTGGATAGTCGGAGGTTGGCAGTGCCCTCTGCCCGTTTGCGGCTCCCTCGAGAGGGAGCTGCAGCTGCAATGGCTTCGGGTCTGCACCGGCCGGGTCTGGTCTGGGGATCGTTTTCATGAGATGGTGTTTTATTAAAGGGAGTTCCATCTACCCCTGATTGGTCCTGGAACAGGGGGATCGAGGAACAGATCCCCCTTTCTCCAGCGACGCCTGCCCAAAAAACGTTGTCTTATTTGTTGTTCCGACGAAGACGGCAATTATGGAGTACATCAATTCTGTAGTCGATCCCCTACTCGAAAAGTGGCCCAACCCTCTCGTCGTGATTTTTTCGCGGCTCGGGGCGGGGGGGGGTCTGGCACTGCAGCGCGCCGCCAGCGGCGGCCGCCAACGGGGCGCGCCGCGGCCCCCGAGGGCCTCAGCAGGGAGCTGCTGTCCCAGGTCGGCGAGAGCCTGGGCGACGACGGGCTTGTGTCCGACGCCGCGCAGGCGACCTCACTCTCGTCGCCCTTGCCGTCGTCGCCGTCCTTCGTCGTCGTCGTCTTCGTCTTCGTCTTCGTCTTCGTCTTCGTCGTCGTCGTCGTCGTCGTCGTCGTCGTCGTCGTCGTCGTCTCCTCTTTCCTCCTTCATCCTCTCTCTCCTCTCCTCTCATCCCGCTGCTCCTCCTCTCTCTTCCGTCCACCTGCCTCTCCTTTGCCATGCCTCCGCCACCACCTCCTCGTCCTCGCTCGGCGGCGCACACAAGGCGAGGCGGCGCGAGGGGCCCAGGCGGTCGCAACCAGCACGCTGGCGCCGGGACACGGGGCACTGAAGGGTCTGGGAGGGGCCCAGGGCTCCTTCGCTTTCTCCTTCCGTCCGTGCTTGGGGCTTCCCTCCTCCCCTCCTCCTCCTCCTCCTCCTCCTCCTCCTCCTCCTCCTCCTCCTCCTCCTCCTCCTCCGCTTCCTCCTCCTCCCCCTCCTCCCCCTCCTCCTCCTCCTCCTCCTCCTCCTCCTCCTCCTCCTCTTCTGGATCGTTCGGGCCCACGATGCAGTCAACCCGTACAGTAAGGATGGGCAGCCTTCCCCAGGGTTCCCTTGCATCCTTGTCTCCTCGGTTCATCCGTGGCCACTTTCGCTGGCCGCGCCCCCCTCGCAAAGTGTCGAAACGGCCTTCCAAGGCCCTTGCATGCTTATCGTGCGTCCTTATGATACGGGTCGACGGTAGAAGGGATGTGCGCCTTCCCTTCACGTCGTAACAGCCAAGGGGTTCGACCGAAGTCGGGATGGTCTCGTCCAGCTCGCTCGGGCGTGCGTTGGGAGCGAGCACGCATCCAGCCAGCTGTGGGGCCAGCGCAAAGGAAGGGGGGGAGCGAGGGTGGAGCACGAGGCAAGGAGGGAGGGGAGGAGGAGGAGGAGGAGGAGGAGGAGGAGGAGGAGGAGGAGGAGGAGGAGGAGGAGGAGGAGGAGGAGGAGGAGGAGGAGGAGGAGGAGGAGGAGGAGGAGGAGGAGGAGGAGGAGGAGGAGGAGGAGGAGGAGGAGTGAGGAGGTAGGAAGGAGGAGGAGGAGGAGGAGGAGGAGGAGGAGGAGGAGGAGGAGGAGGAGGACGAGGAGGGAGGAGAGGAGGAGGAGGAGGAGGAGACGAAGAGGAGAGGGGGGAGGAGGGGGGGAGGAGAAGGAGGAGGAGGAGGAGGGAGGAGGAGGAGGAGGAGGAGGAGGAGGAGGAGGAGGACGAGGAGGAAAGGGGAGGAAGCGGAGGAGGAGGAGGAGGAGGAGGAGGAGGAGGAGGAGGAGGAGGAGGAGGACAAGGAGGAAGGGGAGGAAGCGGAGGAAGCGGAGGAGGAGGAGGAGGATCAAGCGAGCGAGGCCGAGCGAGGCAGAGGGCCTCGCCTGCTCCCCTCCTCCCTCCCGCAGGTTGAGGATCACTTGTAGCACGGGGCTGGACCTGAACGGTGTTTTTGGCGATTTCGTGGACCGTTTTCGTTTCGACTTCGTTTTGCGGCAATGGCGGATTCGAGGCAGAAACGGGGGAAAACGATGACAGCACGACAGCCAAACATTATCCCACCCTACCTAGGAGTTGGAGCCCCTATGAAAACAGCATTAGTAGTAACATCAAAGTTAAGCTAACGTTATGACAAAGCTAATTTCAAGCTAAGCTAAAGCTAAGCTAAAGCTAAGCTAAAGCTAAGCTAAAGCTAAGCTAAAGCTAAGCTAAAGCTAAGCTAAAGCTAAGCCTAAGCTAAGCTAGAGCTAATATAAAGCTAAGCTACAGCTAAGCTAGCTCTAAGATAGAGCTAATATAAAGCTAAGCTAAAGCTAAGCTGAAACTAAGCTAACACTAAGACACAGCTAAGCCAACGCTAAGCTAAAGCTAAGCTAAAACTAAGCTAACGCTAAGCTAACTCTAAGCTGCATCTACGGTAACGTTAAGCTAAATCTAAGCTAACACTAAGCTAAATCTAAGCTAGAGTTAAGCTACAACTAAGCTAAAGCTAAGCTGAAGCTAAGCTACAGCTAAGCTACATCTAAGATAACGCTAAGCTAAAGCTACGCTAAAGCTAAACTAAAGCTAAGCTAAAGCTAAGCTAAAGCTAAGCTGAAGCTAAGCTACAGCTAAGCTAAAGCTAATGTAAGCTGGGTGAACCCAGGGGGCGCAACTGGGGGAACCGCGGGGCGGGGACTGGGGGAACCGCCCGGGGCGCTTTGCACTGCCTGGCCCCTTTAAGCTAAGATAGTAAGAACCCTCTAGGCAGAGCCTAGGTAGGGAAAAACACCGTTGAGGTTCAGCCCGGTTGTGGCACGCCTCGGCGGTTGGATCGGAACGTGCTCCCCTCTCGCAAGCAGAGGGCGCTTCCGACGACGTGGCGAAGCGAACGCTATGCGGGTCGCGCCAGGGGCGGGAATGGCACAACTGCCGATGTGCGCGGCGAAGACGAAGCACGCGCCGCGCTGGCACACCATTTCCGCTTTCACTCACAAGCTTCGCGGCGCCTGGGCGGAGTCGGCATTTCGCCCGCTCCCCCGCGCGGCCCCGCTGCCGCTGTCTCTTGTATACGATTCGGCGAACGAGCCATGCGGCATGCGCCGCGCCCGCGTTGGAACGCCACTTCCGGGCGAAAGGCGCACGGATTTTTGGACGAGTTCGACGAGGGCCACTCAACATTGGCGAGTGATACATGTGCGCCGCGTCGAGGCGGGAACGCCAGTTCCAGGCGAAGCTTGCGAGTGGCGCCAGAGCGAGCGCGACATGTTTGGCCGCTCGATCCTCGACGAAGTTGCGTGCAAAACATGTGCGCGGCGCTGAGGCGAGAGGGCCATTTTGGCCTTTCGCGCGGGATGTGCGCCCCGTCCCAGCCCCGCCACGCATTTTGTAACGTGGGCGACCTCGTGCCCATCTTGAAACGGGAGAACGGGGCTGGACCTGAGCGCTGTTTTGCTGGACTTCGCGGCTGTGTTTTGTCGTTCGTTCTGGCAGGGAGGTACACGAACACAAGCAGAACAAACGAAACAGACACAAACCGAACAGCAACGTTTAGGTCCACTCCTGTCTGAGACGAGGGAACACGCAGCTCGTATTGTTTTGTTGACAAGCAGGATGCCTCCCCCCAGGATGTGGCCACCATCGGCCAGGTGGCAAAGTAGGAACCAATACGAAGGAGGAACACATACGTGTATGACATTGAGCGAGGAAGGAGCGAACAGGAAACGAGGAGGGAGGGGGGAAGGGAGGGATAATGAGGAGGGCGGGAGGGAGAGCGGGATGATCAGGCGTTCTGGCACGGTTTATGATTGTCAGGACGGAACACCCACGTTAATTCGCGGCGTTGAAGTCCCACGAATTGTGTTTGGGCAGGGTAAATGATTCTCATACGGTTGTTTTTCAAAGGGGAGGGAGGGGGGGTAGAGGAGGAAAAGGAGGAGGAGGTGGAAGAGGAGGAGGAGGAACAGGAGGAGGAGGAGGAGGATAAGGAGGGAAACCAGCATGACTTATCATAAGCAGACGAATCATATCAGGAGTAGTTTTGAGATGGCGAATACTAAGGTCAAGGAACATACTACCACAACTGAGAGTACTCGTACTATTGACACGCATGTACATATATCAATCCCAGTCGTGTTAACGTAACGATAAGACGGCGGGTTCTAAGACTACGACGGATAATGCAGATGGTAATACCACGGCTTGTCACAAAACTAGTTGAATCACGAACAATTCTGCCAAGAAGAGTCTTGCTACGACCGCTGGTGATATGGTTACGAATCTGAAGCACCACGAACAAACATAAACAACTCAACTCATACTGGTAACCGCACGATTGATATTCATATACGAATTAATAACACTGTCATCAGTTTACGACTGCTAATAGTAGTATTCTATACACTGCACAAGGCGAACATTAAGGCTGATACGTAAGAAGGCTAATCGGCACAATCATGTGACTACGCTTACGTACAAGGCTAACTCACAATATTACGGATCATATCTACTATTACGCAGCATAAGGCCAATGATACAACAAATCGTAATACCCGTAGGAAGAGGAGGCGGAGGAAGATGAGGAAGAGACGGAGGATGTGGAAGAGAAGGAGGAAGAAGGGGTGAGGTGGCGCGAGGAGGAGGAGGAAGAGAAGGAGGAGGAGGAGGAGGAGCAGGAGGAGGAGGAGGATGAGGAGGTTGGGGTTTGTGGGGAGAAGTGAGCGGGGTGCGGAGAGAGAGAGGGCCGAAGGGAGGGAGAGGGGGGTGCGGAGAGAGGAGGAGGAGGAGAGGAGGAGGAGGAGGCGTAGGAGTAGGAATAGGAGAGAGAGGAGGAGGAGGGGGGAGGAGGAGGAGGAGGAGGAGGAGGAGGACGGAGGTGCGTGGCGAGGGCAGCCGGAGGGCGCGGCTCGCCGGCGCGCCACACGCCGGAGGCCCGCGCGGGCCCGGGCACGGACATCTACCTCGGCTTCTGGCAGAACTACTTCTCAGTCGGCATGGACGCGAGGGTGCGGCCGGCCCCTCCCAGGAAGGAGGAGCCTGCACATGAGGAGAGAGAGAGAGAGAGAGGGAGAGACAGAGGAGGAGGCAGAGGAGGTTTGGACTGGGAACTCGCGTAGGCGAGCTGTGGCGCGAGGAGGAGGATGAGGAGGGGAGGAGAGGAGGAGTGCGGGCGAGGCACCTGGAGTAGAGGCGAGGAGGAGAAGGGCATCTGCGGGGCGGGAGCGGGGCGGGAAATGGAGAAGACGAACAGGGTAAGTACACATAATAGTATGATCTCCCGGAAAAGCAGACAAACACAGACGAAGACGAATACGACACATACTAATAGTATGAATCAGTTGGAGAAGGAGGAGGCGGAGCAGGAGGATGAGGAGGAGGGGAAGGAGGACAGATGGGACGAGAAAGGGAACACGAGCGAGTAGAGGTGCCACATGCGTAGCCGTGCCGATTACCGAAGTCGGCGCCTATCTCCGGCTTGATGTGCATTGACATGTGTGTTCGTGTACAAACCCAGTTGGGCATAGAACCAGACTCGCGAGGGGGCGGTACAGACATACAATCTTGCTCGGCCTCTGAGAGGCCCATGGGGGAAGTCAATGGTCGAGGGTCTAGATCTTCGGTGCTTTCCATTCCTAATGCTGCGAATCAGGCAGACAACATCTAGCGATGCAGGCAACCCCTTACACGGCTCTCTTCACACCTCACCAGGCTTGAACTCCGCACAGCAGCCGCCACAGCGGCAGCAGAAAGCAGGCACCCCACCGCTCCACCCAGGGCTCTCGATCTCGCATCTCGTGCGCCTGTGGCCCCGGAGATAGAAGGCACTGGTGGCCAGCTCGGCCCAATCGTCGTGTCTGACCCTCATCCCCCCGACTCCCAGCCCCGAGCTCAACCCCGTCCCTTCCCATGCAGTCGCGTGGCGTCTCCAGCGGCGGCGGGGGCTTGGCAGCGGCCAGCACCAACACCGTAGCGGTCGAACGTCCCGGCGGCTCATCGTCCACTCCGCAGGTGAACTTCTAGCTGGAACTCTAGCGCATAGTTTGAGCTTCTTAGGCCGCGTAGTTATCGCCATCCGTAGCCGTCTGTCTATGCTTACGCGGCAAGGGTCCGTAGCATGCTGTTGCCACCCGTCTCAGAGTCTCAGACTGCATTAATACCCAGCCATGGGAGTGATGGACGGAACGATGACGACAAAGTTGACAATGAGGATGCTGCTGATGATGCTGATGCTGATGCTGATGCTGATGATGATGCTTATCATGGTGATGCTGATGCTGATGATGCAGATGCTGATGACGATGACGACGATGACGATGAGGAAGAGGATGAGTACACTGATGGTGGTGGTAAGGATGGTGACGTGGATGGAGATCACATGATGACGATTGTGATGATGTTGATGCTACTGCTAATGCTGATGCTGATGCGGTTGTTGCTGCTGCTGTTGATGAAACTGTTTCATCTGGCCAGTTACAGTAGCAGGACCACTAGCAATGACATGAGAAGCGCTGCTAACACTATTACTCCCTGCAGTTGTGTGTAGTGGTGGTAGTAAACGTAGTACTGGTAGTCCTAGTGGTGGTGGTGGTGGTCGTAGTAGTGGCAGCACTAACAGTAGTAGTAGTAGTAGTAGTAGTAGTAGTAGTAGTAGTAGTAGTAGTAGTAGTAGTAGTAGTAGTAGTAGTAGTCGTAGTCGTAGTCGTAGTAGTAGTCGTAGTCGTAGTCGTAGTCGTAGTAGTAGTCGTAGCCGTAGTAGTGTCGTAGTAGTAGTAGTAGTAGTAGTAGTAGTAGGAGCAGTAGTAGTAGTAGTAGTGGTGGTGGTGGTGATAATAGTAGGAGAAGTAGTAGTATTATTATTATTAGTAGTAGTAGTAGTAGTCGTAGTCGTAGTCGTAGTCGTAGTCGTAGTAGTAGTAGTAGTAGTCGTAGTCGTCGTCGTAGTCGTAGTCGTAGTAGTAGTAGTAGTAGTAGTAGTAGTAGTAGTAGTAGTAGTAGTAGTAGTAGTAGTAGTCGTAGTCGTAGTAGTCGTAGTAGTAGTAGTAGTAGTAGTAGTAGTAGTAGTAGTAGTAGTAGCAGCAGCAGTGTCGAAGTTGTACTAGTTGTAGTACCCAGCGGCTTGGTTAGGGCCTTGTGTTTTTGTTTTCCACGTGTTGATGGCGTGTTTAAGTTTGATGTTTATGTCGATGTCCACGCTGATGCTGACGAAGATGCTGACGTAAACGTAGGTTGTTCTCTTGGACTCTCTCGGCGGACTTGCTATCCATTGTTTTGGAGAGACTGAGGGCTAGAAGGGAGAGGGAAAGAGAGAGAGAGATAGAGAGACAAAGAAGGAGATAACGAGAGAGAGAGAGAGAGAGAGAGAGAGCGAGAGAGCGAGAGCGTTGGGAGAACGTTTTCGGGAGGGGGCGGCCAGGGCCGAGGCGGGAGCAGGACCGATACCTCCAGAGGGAGGAGGAGGAGGGCGAGTGTTTTTCCCAACCATCCTGTGGTGTTGGGTCCTGAAGAGACGGTGTCCCGCGTCTCCTCTCCTCCTCCTCCTCTCCTCCTCCTCCTCCCCCTCCTCCTCCCTCCTCCCCCTCTTCCCTGCGTTTCACCCACCCAGTGCAGCGCTTCGTGGCCCCATAGGAGCTCCGCCGAAGGCACCAGTGCTGCCGCCCGCATGCGTCACCCACACCCAATTCGGCACACCCTCATACGTTTCGTGGCCTCATCGGAGCTCAGCCGAAGGCCTCAGTGCTGCCGCCCGCATGCGTCACCGCCACCCAATTCGGCACACCCCTCACACGTTTCGTGGCCCCATAGGAGCTCCGCCGAAGGCCCCAGTGCTGCCGCCCGCATGCGTCACCCACACACAATTCGGCACACCCCTCACACGTTTCGTGGCCCCATATCAGCTCAGCCGAAGGCCCCAGTGCTGCCGCCCGCATGCGCCACCTACACACAATGCGGCACACCCCACACACGTTTCGTGACCCCATAGGAGCTCCGCCGAAGGCCCCAGTGCTGCCGCCCGCATGCGTCACCGCCACACAATTCGGCACACCCCTCACACGTTTCGTGGCCCCATAGGGGCTCCGCCGAAGGCCCCAGTGCTGCCGCCCGCATGCGTCACCCACACAATTGGGCACACCCCTCACACGTTTCGTGGCCCCATAGGAGCTCCGCCGAAGGCCCCAGTGCTGCCGCCCGCATGCGTCACCCACACCCAATTCGGCACACCCCTCACACGTTTCGTGGCCCCATAGGAGCTCCGCCGAAGGCCCCAGTGCTGCCGCCCGCATGCACCACCCACACCCAATTCGGCACACCCCTCACACGTTTCGTGGCCCCATTCGGAGCTCCGCCGAAGGCCCCAGTGCTGCCGCCCGCATGCGTCACCGCCACACAATTCGGCACACCCCCCACACGTTTCGTGGCCCCATAGGATCTCCGCCGAAGGCCCCAGTGCTGCCGCCCGCATGCGTCACCCACACACAATTGGGCACACCCCTCACACGTTTCGTGGCCCCATAGGAGCTCCGCCGAAGGCCCCAGTGCTGCCGCCCGCATGCGTCACCCACGCCCAATTCGGCATACCCCACACACGTTTCGTGGCCCCATAAGAGCTCAGCCGAAGGCCCCAGTGCTGCCGCCCGCATGCGTCACGCACACGCAAGTCGGCACACCCCTCACACGTTTCGTGGCCCCATAGGGAGCTCCGCCGAAGGCCCCAGTGCTGCCGCCCGCATGCGTCACGCACACTCAATTCTGCACACCCCTCACACGTTTCGTGGCCCCATTAGGAGCTCAGCCGAAGGCCCCAGTGCTGCCGCCCGCATGCGTCACCCACACACACAATTGGGCACACCCCTCACACGTTTCGTGGCCCCATAGGGAGCTCCGCCGAAGGCCCCAGTGCTGCCGCCCGCATGCGTCACCCCCACCCAATTCGGCACACCCCTCACACGTTTCGTGGCCCCATAGGGAGCTCCGCCGAAGGCCCCAGCGCTGCCGCCCGCATGCGTCACGCACACACAATTCGGCACACCCCTCACACGCTTCGTGGCCCCATAGGGAGCTCCGCCGAAGGCCACAGTGCTGCCGCCCGCACCCGTCACCCACACCCATTTCGGCACAACTTTTGCACGCTTATTGGCCCCATAGGGAACTCTACTGAAGGTCCCAGTGCTGCCGCCCGCATGCGCCACGCACACACAATTCGGCACACCCCTCACACGTTTCGTGGCCCCATAGGAGCTCCGCCAAAGGCCCCAGGGCTGCCGCCCGCATGCGTCACCCGCACCCAATTCGGCACATCCTCACACGTTTCGTGGCCCCAAAGGGAGCTCCGCCGAAGGCCCCAGCGCTGCCGCCCGCATGCGTCCCGCACATTCATTTCGGCACACCCTCACACGTTTCGTGGCCCCATAGGGAGCTCCACCGAAGGCCCCAGAGTGCTGCCGCCCGCATGCGTCCCGCACACTCATGTCGGCACACCCCTCACGCGTTTCGTGGCCCCATATGGAATGCGGCCCGCACACCCATTTCGGCATACCCTTCACACGTTTCGTGGCCCCACAGGGAGCTCCACCGAAGGCCCCAGTGGGTGTGCCCGCATGCGTCCCGCACATCCATGTCGGCACACCCCTCACTCGTTTCGTGACCCCTCACACGTTTCGTGGTCACATAGGGAGCTCCACCGACGGCCCCAATGGGTGTGCCCGCATGCGTCCCGCACACCCATTTTGGCACACCCCTCGCACGTTTCGTGGCCCCACAGGGAGCTCCACCGAAGGCCCCAGTGGGTGTGCCCGCATGCGTCCCGCACATCCATTTCGGCACACCCCTCACTCGTTTCGTGACCCCTCACACGTTTCGTGGTCACATAGGGAGCTCCACCGAAGGCCCCAATGGGCGTGCCCGCATGCGTCCCGCACACCCATTTTGGCACACCCCTCGCACGTTTCGTGGCCCCGTAGAAAGGGGCTCCACCGAAGGTCCCAGTGCTGCCGCCCGCATGCGTCCC